ATTTCGTATGTACATGCATATGTGTAAAGAAAATAGTATTTGCATACTGCACACATATAAACACTATATATACACTGAGTAAAAAGAAATAAATAATCCCTAGTCTTTCTCCCAGACATTAGAGAATATATTTAAAAAAGGAGTCTAGAATGAATGGGCAAGTCTAGATTGCCTCAGCCTATAATTACGCCTTGTTCTGGGCTCCATTCGGTTGTTATTTTTATTTTGTAGGTATATATTTTTAAATAAGATGACTTTATTTCTGGGACTAAATGTCAGTCTACATAATTATGCTCCTCAATGCCATTTTGCAAGGTTATCACAATAACATGTTGATTCGACGTAAAACGATACTCCATTTGCTGCAGATACATATTGACTGATCAATGATATGTTGCCAGGCGTTTTGGCATTCATGAACATTTAACGATTCACGTAAATTACGAAAACGTCTTCAGTTACGGTGCCACAGATGCCCGTGATGTCAGGAGGATATTTAACCACCTAATCCTTCCGTTGCAGGAATCCTGATGCCAGAAATGGTTTATCACGACGGCGTTAACCGCTGCGTCAGCATATCTCTGCGAGAGTGTCAGTATGCGTGCGAGCGAGTTGCCCATGCTCACACGAGACTGGCTAACTACATTATTTTAGAAATATAATGTAACAAGGTATAATCTATTGTGTATTAGGTCAGGATAACCCCCGAAAACATCTATTTTTCTCTCCCCTCCTCTCTCTCCCGCCCCCCCTCTCTCTCTCTCTCTCTCTCTCTCTCTCTCTCTCTCTCTCTCTCACACACACACACACAGTCTCTCTTTCTCACTTCCCCACTCTCTATCCCATTCTATTTTTTCTCTCTTCCTCTCGCTTCCACCCACTCTCTCTCCCACTCTATTTTTTTGCTCTCTCTCCCGCCCACTCCCTCTCTTTCCCACTTTCACACTAACACACACACGCACGCACGCACGCACGCACGCGCGCGCGCGCACGCACACACACACACACAGTCTCTCTCTCTCTCTTTTCCACCCACTCTCTCTCCACTCTATTTTTTTCTCCTCTCCTCCTCTCTTCCGCCCACTCTCTCTCTCTCCCGCCCACTCTCTCTCTCTCTCTCTCTCTCTCACACACACACACACACACACACACATACACGCACGCACGCACGCACGCACGCACGCACACACGCACACACACACACACACACACACACACACACACACCGGGTGATCGTACTTAATATCAGCGGTCAGACTCATTCACCCTAATGGAGCGGATCGTCGTTCATGGTCCTAACAAACTGGAATTTTTTTAGTACAGATTCGAATATTTACAGGCTGCGATATACATCTTAAATAGTGCTGACTGCAGCGTTAATAACAAATTTAGAGGGCAAACCGTTTCCCCATAGTACAGAGAACGAATGTCAATCCCATCGAATGTGGTTTGTGTAATCCACGCCCTAAATAAAATCGGGGAAAGACCGAATATCAAGGATTGTAATTACGCAGGTGAAACCACGAAACAGAAAACGGTTTGGCCTATTCTAGAAATTTGAAAATTTGATTTTTTTATAGAACCATAGATCCCATATGCTGTGTGCATATCAATGCGTGCGTGTACATGTATGTGTGCGTACATGTCTTGTACGAGTATCTGTACATATAAATATTTGCACGATCATGCACAAACAATTAAGGACTTTGTATATATATGCTTGTGGTCTATCATGGCAGATGGCAACGCATCAAAACCAACTTTGTTAATGTTGGCATGCTTTACCAAAGTTCCTCGTTCACCTCGCAGTTATAACATAAGCCACATTGGATATATAATTTCGAATGTATTCAATAAGAGGCTCATCTTCGCCATTGAGTAGGGTTGATCGAACTATCGATCCATCATAATTGTCGATGACCATAATATATATATATATATATAGTTTGTATCAATGCTGTCAACAAAACCCAAGCAAACGAATCTTCACCGACGTGTCAGCTTTAATACAAGTTAATCTCTCTCTCTCTCTCTCTCTCTGAAACTCTCTCTCTCTCTCTCTCACTTTTTCTTTCTTTCTCTCTCTCTATCGCTCTCTCCCCCATCTATCTCTCTCACACACACATTCTCTCTCTCTATCTCTCTCTCTCTCTCTCTATCTCTCTCTCTCTTTCACTCTCACGTCGTTATATCAGTGCATTAGTTTGTGCATTAATCTTGCACCTCATCACCTCTGACTGGGCAAGCAGGGGATGTTACTGTAACCTCCAGTACTCCAGTACTCCAGTACTCCAGTACTCCAGTACATGTGTGCACCCCACACACAGACAGCCCCTTGGCACTCATCTTCAGGAAACAGTTAAACACTTATACTATGTGCTAATCTGCCTTCATCTTTATGGTATTTGATAGCACACTAATATAGCCTATCATCTATTCATCTGATATAGCAGAATAACATAATACATGTTTATTAACGCTCACATATAACGCAAGTCTTGTGATATTCCACAATAGGCTTAGTGGTGTTCGGATTTCTTTGAAACCCTAGCAATCAGTATATAAAAATATCTGGGTTATTGTCAGTTGAAAATAGCAATGTATCATTATCATCTTATCATAAACATAATGGTTTTATCTGATAACACATGGCATCATCACAAAATGTTCCACCCACTCTCCTTAGCTTGTGATAACAGACCTAGACATTATACAAGCAGTCTGGCCTTATCTTGGATATTTATTATTGTCGCTCCTACAACAATTCTTTGGGCGTTTGTTTCAAAATGTGTCAAATAATGGCAGTTTTAACCTGAGGGGAAAGTATTATCAGACATTAAATGTGAACTTATCTGTAAAGATTGTGAAGCACCAGATACGTTTACTTCTACATACGACATCCATGACGCAGAGATTTATGCCAAACGCATTTCAATCGACATGTGCGTCCGTTAAACTGTTGGATTGTTTGATCTGCAATGCTCATTGAACATTCTTTTGTACTTTATATTAATGGATATAATTCTTAAAGGTTAAAGTATTACCGAGAGAGATTTATTTTTATTCCTAGCTTTGTTTCCAAAGCAACATCGATATTTTCGTTTCACTGACGATACCTCCAAAATATGTTAATAACTTCCTGTAATTATATATAAATTATGGTATGATATTATATCCTTTTTCAGATCTGGAATACCTGTCTAACTCGATACAGAATTTTTAAAGCATATTTTATTAAAATCTGTACGCTCGATGGAACTGGTTAGCTCGCCTTAAGTAATATACTGACGGATATAATAAGGTAACAAGCAGGATTGTTTTGTGGCGGGTGCTGCCGGTAGAGCAGGACATGCTTACCCTTTCGCGAACACCTGGTGTCATCACTGATCTTCAGTGATCCAGTTATATAATTTTCACCGCTATTTTGTCTTTTACGCCCAATGGAATCTGTTTCGGCGGATAATCGGGACTGGTTATTCTCTGGCGTTGACGTTTTATAGAAGCTCCTAAATGTTAAACTCCTTATGAGTGAGTGAGTATGATTTTACGCCGCCTTTAGCAATATTCCAGCAATATCACGGCGGGGGACACCAGAAATGGGATTCACACATTGTACCCACGTCGGGAATCGAACCTGGGTCTTCGGCGTGACGTAAAACTCCTTATGAAAAAGATGAAATGAAATAGGTTTTTAAAGTCGCGTTCAAAATTATTGCGCTTATAGAGACATGCAAGCTTGTACTAGTCCTGACTAATGCTGCATTATAGTGCTAGCCTACTTAGGTACCACGTCGCAGTTTAACATGGATACCTGACAATTATTTTACGCTACTTCAACCTCTTTTTAGGATGCAACCACTAACAATCTCAGTTTTCTCTGTTCAGTATCAATATTTTTGTTTAAAACACAAATCAGTTATTGAGTTCTTACAGTATTAAAAAAATACTTAAAAAATATACTTAGAAAGAGTTATACCGAGCCTGTTGCACAGTCCCTGATCCATATTATGTTCCCTTCCACCTAGCCCTTACTGTTATGCTATAGCCCTAAATTAAGCAAGTCTAGATTTTCTACATTCTGAATCTCCCATCTCACTTTAGCTCCTTTTTGTTTATATGGAGTTGTTTGTTTCAATCAAAATTATATAATTTCAGAGACTAAGCGTTAGTCTATAGTAAACCCTTGTGAAGGAAATAAGCAGGATAATACTTGACCATGATTCTCTTACTTGAGGGTCCTCATCAATGTAACACATATTAAAACATATACTCGGTCCCCGTGAAGATCCGGGTTAGAATAGGTCTTCAGCAACACATGCTTGCCGTAAAAGGCGACTATGCTTGTCGTAAGAGGCGATTAACGGGATCGGGTGGTCTTGGTAGATGCATGTCATTGTATCCCAATTGAGTAGATCGATGCGTATGATGCCAATCCAGACTCGATTATTCACAGACCGCAGTCATATAGCTGGAATGTTGCTGAGTGCGGCGTTAAACATCAAACAAACGAATATATACTCAGAGCTTGTTGAACCGAACACTGCAGTAAGCAGTAATCGTCAGTATGTTATGTGATCACTTATTTACTACCATCAGTATATATTGGCTTGAACTGAATGAGTTTTTAATGTTTCAGCCATATCCTTAAGATTAACGGTTATTCTAACCTTATTATAATTGTAATAAGATTTTACGCGTGAAAATATAAGGCATTCAATGAAACTATGGGCATTCTGAAATCAGAATTGCAAGACGAAACTCAAACTAAAACCAACCTAACGTAAATAAGACTAATAGTAAATGCACGGAATGTTCTGTGGTCAAACAAATCAATGGTGTGTCTCAAATCTTAGATAACGCATGTTTACATGCAGATGGGTCATTATGATTCATCAAAGTCCTCTCCATGAGGTGACATGACGTCACAGTGGTCATTGTCCACAACGTAACATAGTCATGACCCCCTTGAACAATACGTGTTTCATTGGCATGATGGACGAGTGACATATATGCCAATGGTCAGGTGCTTATATACCTCAGCCTTTCTCCGCATCTGCACACCTTCTCTCACAGCCAGACTGGTCATACAAACGAACGTTGTAAGTATTTGCAAGCGTTATGCTTTTGTTTGTAGCATAGTGTCATATCAGAATCATAGGGCCAAGTTTCCGATGGTTTCCTTTGGTTTTTCCAAGTTCCATTTCTAGAATCCAGTAAATGAAACATGAGGTTTTCGACTGATGACAAATTACGTTTTTAAGGTCCTTCTTACTGAATATACTGATGGTTTTTATTAAGGAACGTCAACAAGAGAAGGGTTGGTTTGTGCTGGGTGATACCGGTAGGGCAGGGCATGCTTACCCTTTTCGCGAACACCTGGTGTCATCACTGATTTTCAGTGATTCAATCATATACAATTACAGTTTTAAGGTCCTTCTTACTGAACATACTGATGGTTTTTATTAAGGAACGTCAACAAGAGAAGGGTTGGTTTGTGCTGGGTGATACCGGTAGGGCAGGGCATGCTTACCCTTTTCGCGAACACCTGGTGTCATCACTAGTCATATAGTTTTCACTATTTCGCCTTGCACGCCCAATGGGGTTTGTATCGGTAATAATCGTTATTCCCCAGCGTTGGCGTTTTATATTTACCTCAACATGAAAATATTAATCCTGTTCATCATAATAAATTATTAAATCTGTTGTAAAGTATATAAATGAACTGTTAAAATAATGCTATAGAAAATAAACGTACTACCATTGTTGTTTCACAGTATCGACCTGGAGGAACATCATGAGGACTATTGCTGTCGTGTTAGCGGTGTTTGCCGCGGCCGTGTATGGTAAGTGCATTTAATGTTATCTAACGGGAGCACACAAGACCCACTGATCAATGGAATCCTAGATTCTCTCCCATCGTGACTGCTGATCTGTCAGCATCACATCCGCCAAGTGCCACCTGGTTCGCCTTCATCCAACATTAAGCTGACACACCGTCTCTAACCGAGATTCACTCAAAATCGAGTATAATACAAAAGTATATTTAAAACCTAAATGAATAATAGTATTTTTTTTGCAGAAATAAGTATGTTCATTTTGTTATTATAAGAGGCGACTATCGGGATCGGGTGGTCAGGCTTGCTGACTTGGTTGATGCATGTCATCGTATCCCAATTGTGTCGATCGATGCTCATGATATCAATAACTGGATTGTCTGGTTCAGACGCGATTATTTACAGACCGACGTCATATAGCTGGAATAATGCTGAGTGCGGCTTTAAACAAACAAACAAACAATATTATAATTTATTCTGTGTTATTGAAGGATGGGCAGCATAATACCTCTATACTTGTTACCAGACGGTTATGAATGTGATCGATAACGTGTATGGACTCTTTTGATAAAAGTATCATTTCTGCATTCAGCCCAGACCCCAACTGCCCCAAGCCCTGTAACCAATTCTCCACTTGGGGGTAAACAGGCATCCAGCAACAACAACAACAACAGCAACAACAACAACAACATGAACACCAACACCATGAATACTCCTGCGGATACCAACATGATGAGCAACAATCTAAACAACAGGATGAACAGCGTCCATAACAACATGATGAACAACGGTCTCAATAACATGGTGAACAACGGTCTCAATAACATGATGAACAACGGTCTCAATAACATGGTGAACAACGGTCTCAATAACATGATGAACAAAGCTCATTCTAACGGCCCGTTTGCTCATTTCCAAAACCAAATGTTTAGGAACTTGAACAACAATAACAACAACAACAACAACATGCAGAATACCGCGATGGCCGCCTTCCCCCAAAACAACAATGTTCACCAAAACCAGGGAAAAAGCCAACATTCACAGTCAGCATTTAACTTCTTGCCATTCATGTTCGGCAATGATAGAGTCAACCAGATGGCGATGCTCTCGTTGATGTCGAATCCCTCCTCCACCAGTAACATGCTGCCTTTCCTGGCATTGGGAGGGGGCAACGAAAACATGATCCGCCTCATGATGCTCGGCAACGCCATGAATCAACGCAAGGGAGGTCATGGTCAGGGATTCAACCCCTACGCCATGCTCGCTTTTAACGGAAATGACATGATGCAGAAGCTCTTCCCAATGATGATGCTGCTGAACCAGAACGGTCAGCAGGGAGCTACCTCCACCACCGCAGCCTCACCTGGAGCGACTACTACTGCGGCCGAACCACAGGGAGCTAATAATGGATTTCTGAATCTTATGATGATGAACAATATGATGTAAATGTTGTTGGTTTGTCACACGGTGGTATTGAGATCTTCAATAACGCTTCTTTGCTTGATTTACATGATGGGAATAAAACAAGTACCTATGTAGAACAGTTTTGATTTTAATATGTTGAGTTTGATGCTCTTTGGTACGTTTGGAGTTGTTGCACCCTTAAGCACGACGTTTCATCGCTACTTGCTCCTTCATCAGGTGAATGCTTAGTAAGTGCATAATATACAGTCGACGTCAGCAATAAATATATATTTAAGAATTGACTTTCACTTTGTGTGAGTTCATTGGGGTATGAACCTTCATAGAGTGAGGGCGTAACTCTATGAACGTCGGAGCTTACGACTGAATGAACTCTCACAAAGTGAAAAGTCAATTTTATAATATTTTGTATCACTATTTTGTACCTCAAAGGATCTAGATCTCTACGCAATATTTAGTACGTGTTACTTCATGTTTACACTGGCAGCCATACAACAACCAGCTGTATCCCGGAATAAAATAGTTCCTCAAAACGAGAGGTGACATGAACGTATGTCTGCTCAAAATGCTCTACAGGAACAACTTTTGTAGTTTCTTTACAACAAATGTTTTCAAAATATATCCTCATGTCTGATAAGAACTACCTCAGTAAGACAGTCACAATGACAGCGCGTCGTAATACATTTACATCAAGTACAAGACGTCAAAATGGCCGACACGATAAACGTGTCGAGAGAGATTTCGGAAATTGTTAGTGAACCTGTGGTGGTTACATGTTTTAGTCATCATTGATCAACTGGTCGGTCATTGGAAGGTGATTAAAGATGTGTTAATTAGACACTAAGTTAAATTCATGGATTGCTGTAGACTGTCACTGTCAGCCTAGATACGGATCGAGTCGATAATTCGATAGCGTGGATGTGCATTTCTTCGTTTTGTACATGTTCACCAAGGATATTCGTAAACGATCATGCAGTCACAAACTCTGACGTTGCTCAATGTATACTGAAACCCTGAGTTCAAGATTAAAAGGTCTAAATGATCAGAAAGAACGCTTCTGCATGTATTCGTGCAAGGGAATTCTCAGGAATGTGGAAGTAGTCCGTCAGTGTTTACGTCATTTTAAGAAAAGCCGTATATCGTGTAAACTTTAAAATTAAAAATAAAAAAATCATATATATATATATATATATATATATATATATATATATATATATATATATATATATATATATATATATATATATATATATGGGTCCTTGTTTTCGCACATTGAAAGTAATAATTTGTATATTGGGTGCTATATTTCTACTAAAAAGCCAATCGTGCTATACGAATTATATGCGGCTTGGTCTGTCGTTACCGTGAATTCCTGCAATATCACTTCTCCATTGCTACCGATATATTATGTAGGTAGCGGAATGAGCCGATCCTATCCGAGCGTTGACATGACATAACTGAACCACTGTTTAAAACTCATTCGCGTTTCCAATCATGATGATAATATTTAGAAGAAAACATATGCTTATTTGAATCAACAGAAATATATAGATTGAGTGAGTATAGTAGGGAAATGTCACTGTCTTTTTAACCCAGAAGGTGTGGTTTGTTGGGCACAAGGAGTATTGTCATGAAGTAATATCATCAAGTAAAATCAAAGTAGTAACAAATAAAATTCATTTCAGTTTAGACACACACACACGTTTCATTGGCGTGAGTGAGTATTGTTTTACGCCGCTTTTCGCAATATTCCAGCAATATCACGGCGGAGGACACCAGCAATGGGCTTCATACATCGTACCCATGTGTGTTGTTTTTTCTACAACGGACTATTTATTACTGTATGTGATAGAAAACTAGCGTTCCTGGTCACCCAGCGACCCACGATTCCTTGCATTATATGTGGTATTGCACGCTTTGGGGTACGGGTGTAAGTTACATGTGTCAAGTTCATTTATCTCTTCATCAGTTACTTTGAACAACTGATTCTAACACACTATTTCGTATTAGTGAGTAAGGGAGTATGGTTTTACGCCGATGTTAGCAATATTCCAGCAATATCATGGAACAAGTTAGGAACAAGTTTCATCGCTGCTCTATAAACGAGTGGGTGAAGACTGTACTATGTTTATCACAAAGATGAATCTGAAAAGCCGATTCAAGTTATGCTGCTGTTCCGTTAGGTATTGTTTCCAGGTTGTTCTATGTTAACTACAAGTACGAACCATGGAAGGCATGTGTTTGTAAAAGGTTCTACCGCTGTTTCCATCAACTGCTGTGTAGGAGTGAGTGAGTATGGTTTTACGCCGCTTTTAGCAATATTCCAGCAATATCACGGCGGGGGACACCAGAAATGGGCTTCACACATTGTACCCATGTCGGGAATCGAACCCGGGTCTTCGGCGTGACGAGCTAACGCTTTAACCACTAGACTACCCGACCGCCCCTCTGTGTAGGACAAACCATCAACTAATAAGACGAATCTCGGAATCTTCTTCCAGCTACAGGTGGCACGGGTGGCTCAGTCGTCTAAGGCGCCGCGATTCGCTGTGCAGAGTTGCGTCCCTTGGGCACGCCAGAAACCTATAATTGTGGGTTCGAATCCCGGTTCGCCCCGATTATGTTTCTAGGTTTGTCAGAACCATACCCGTGCTCCTGGGTTTTTAACAGAAGTGGTAAACCTCTGAGACCTGCATCACTTCGGGCTTTCCTCCCACATTAAGCTGACACGCCGTGATATAACTGGAATAGTGTTTTAAACCCAACTCACTCACTCACTCTTTCAGTTACAGTGGAACAGAGACGGTCTTACTCGGTTTTGTGTTTCTGAATCTATTTTTTATTACATGCCTAAATTCGGGACAGGATAATGTCACGTGATGGCGATAGACCTTATTAATGACAATGCCTTAGGGGACTTACACTGGTAACTTTGTCACGTGACACGGACATGATTCAAACAACACGGAGATGACCAGACGATGACGTCACAAGTAGCAGGTAATTAAAGGCACGTGTCGTCAGTGATCAAAGTGCACTGATGAAGATATGTGTATATTCGTCCCATTAATAAAAATGCAGGTTACCGTTCACCTAAGATAAAGACCGGCGATGAAGATCGCCCGGGATGAAGATCGCCTCATGAGATAATTCTTTCAAAACAAATTCAATGCTGCGCTTAGCAATGCTGGCTTTCTGTTCAGAAGTAAGGTTAACTTTGTGGTTATTATGAATTCCCATTACCTATTTACAGCGGATTGAAGGGGGTCACTTTATTTTTACCAGAAGCTGTGGATAGTTGGGTACGAGGAGTATTGTCATGAAATTTTAACACATACACACGTTTCATTGTCAAGAGTTAGTATGGTTTTACGCCGCTTTAAGCAATATTCCAGCATTATCCGGGGGACACCAGCTATGGGCTTCATACATTGTACCCATGTGGGTAATCGAACCCGGGTCGAGTGAACGCTTTAACTACTAGGCTACCCAACTGCACCCTTTTAATTGGAATGGATTTGGTTTATAGTTGAAGACACGCTTGACCCCTAACGAGACACAGAGTGGAAGTAGCTTCCTGTTTGTATGTAACGGTGTCCCCACACCCTGGCGTTGGGTGCGACTCTCATATTCGCCCTGATTATGACCATCCATCTTTCATCACCATGCTCATGGGTTTCTCCGAAGTGGTAAACGTCCTGCATCCCTTCAGGCTTTTCTCCACATCAAGCTGACAAACTGAAATAATGTTGAAACGACGTTAAACCAACTATTTTCACATACGACGCCGAATACCCGGGTTTGATTCCCCACATGGGTACAATGTGTGAAGTCCATTTCTGGTGTCCCCCGGAGTGATATTGCTGGAATATTGCTGAAAGCAGCATAAAACCATACTCACTCTCTCACTCCACTGTAACTGTAACGAAGACGTTATTTAGAGAATTCATTATTAAGAGTGACATAGCATTTCAATAAAAGTGACAAAGCATTTCAATAGTCTCTCCTAAAAGCAGAGTCAATTGTACGATTTCGACTGTATCATGAGTATATGTTTATGAATCAAATAGTGACGAGAGGTGTTTGCAAAAGGTGATAATTCAGTAACACATGCAAAGGCAAGTCAATTGTTCATTACTGAAGTTCATTTCTAAGGTTACAGAAACCGAGTTTTTTAGAATCCACATGGTATTTATTACACCTGCCTCAAACATGTCTGTGAATCTAAAGTCCTTCCTTCATGCAGGATTATGGTTAATGGTAATTGATGGAACAGCAATATAATTTCTTATATCTCTAATATATAAAGACTTGATTTTAACATTTCCTCTTAGGTGCTATACTACTGAATAGGACCCGTGAAGATCCGGGGTAGAATTAGGTCTTCAGCAACCCATGCTTGCCGTAAAAGGCGACTATGCTTGTCGTATGAGGCGACTAACGGGATCGGGTGGTCAGGCTCGCTGACTTGGTTGATGCATGTCATCGATCCCAATTGCGTGGATCAATGCTCATGATATTAATCACTGGAATGTCTGGTCCAGACTCGATTATTTACAGACTGCCGTCATATAGCTGGAATATTGCTAAGTGCGGCGTTAAACAACAAACCAACCAACCAACCAACTATTGAATAGAGGGTGCTTATGGGGTACATATAAAGAATTTAGTTGGAATGTATTGTTTAGACCTTAAATGAAATCCTATTTAAGCAAAGGTACATGCCTTTACCATAAGGCTTTAAAATGACAAGGAGATTAATGCAGTTATTGGTATTTGCAACATCGTACATGTTTGCATTGCCATGATTAAAAAATATGCAATTCTCATAAATGTTTTTTAACTTCATTTTTTAAAATGATAAAATGAAAGATAAAATATGTTACTAAACATTGTTACACAACAGTCTAAAATTAAAAAGGCTCAGCCAGTTTGTATGAATCTCTCGTTTCATGATATACGAAAATGATGGGAATTTATCGAAAAATAATTTTCCTAGTGAAAGCTTGATAAAAATAAGTATGACCTAGTCTGTTGAAAAAATCTTTTGTCAGCCCGAATCAATACATTCTTGCTAAAAAGAATATTAATATATCTGTAGGCGCATAGCTTTAATTGATAAAATATCTGGTGCTGTAGCAGAAAAAAATCAATTCTTCATACAAAATTCCAGCACTCCACCCTCACCCCCACCCCACCCCACCCCACCCCACCCCACACCACCCCACCCCACCCCACCCCATCCTACCCCGTCTCCCCGTTACACAGTAGCTATGTCATCACGTCGAATCAGCACAGTCACTATTCTTCTTCTTCTTCTTGACATTGACAAGATGCATGCATTGTTCCTGTATATCCATATATCCTATCCATCAAATATGTGATACAGCTATTGTTACGTCACAATGGTCACACATGACAGCGGTCATTCACAACTAACAATCCTTTGAGAAGATTATTTCAAATCCATCAAGGCATGTGTTGTTGTCATGCTTGTCAAGCAACGTATCACTGTTATTGATGAGTGACAAGGGATCATGTTTGATTCAGACAGGGTGCATATATACCCCCGTCTCTTTCCTTGTTGTAGCATTTCCATCAACCTTCTTCAACAACCACTGTTTACAGAACCTCACCTGGTAAGTTGGCATCCAGTTAACATGTCTTTCGATGTAGCCCGATGAAGGTACAACTAGTAACCGATTTACCCATATTTTGATGTATCATACTAGATCATGCTTTGTACACGGGCATACAGACATAATTGAATCAACTGAACAGTGAATGTTACTAACATTAAGCATTCACTTGATAACTCATTTATGATGATGCAACGTTATTGTCCAGCTATGGCCACTCTGCTTTTCCCGACCTACAGATAACGTGATGTATTTACTATAACAAATACTTACTATTTTGCTCAAAATATGTAGTGACGGGTGCTACCGGTAGAGCAGGCCTACGGTGGCCCATAAGGGACATGGAGTCTGTTTTTCAATATTTTGATATTTCACTTACTTTTGTCGTAACCTTTTGCAAATTAGCATTATTTGTCATACAAATATGTGATAAATCATGTATAAAAACAACCGAAAACATGGAAAATGTACTTTCAAGTAGCTATTGAATGGCTGAATGTGAAGCGAAAATTTCAAAAACTAAAATGAAAATACAGAAAACTATTTCGACCGCGGTGATAATATTCCCACCGCGGTGGAAATAGTTTTCTGTATTTTCATTTTATTTTGTGACATTTTCGCTTTTATTTTTGACATTTTCGTTTTTGTTTTTGACATTTTCGTTTTAGTTTTGGACATTTTCGTTTTTGTTTTGGACATTTTCGCTTCACTTTTCAGCGATTCAATATCTTCTTTATACGTGACTTATCACATGTGTGTATGACAAATCGTGTTAATTTGCAAAAGGTTACGATAACAGTAAGTGAAATATAAAAATATTGAAAAACAGACTCCATTTCCCTTATGAGCCACCGTACAGGACATGCTTACCCTTTTCGCGAACACCTGATGTCATATTTCGCTAACACCCGTTGTCATCACTGATTTTCAGTTATCTATATATGAAATGTTCACCACTATTTTGCCATTTTACGCCCATCGGAATCTGTTTCGGCAGATTTTCGAACCTGAATATTCAGGTTTTATGTATCCTTCTATGGACTTCCATTTAGGGAGGTTTTTCTGGTAACGATATCATTGTGGCAAAGAAATTAAATATGTTGTGCTTAAAAGTCTCATTTCCTTTCAGTGAACAATATTAATCATGAGGTCGACTCTTTCTCTCCTGGTAGCCTTGTCTCTCGTTGTTGGAGGTAATATATGCTGTCTGGTAGTAGTAGGATATACTATTTTTTCAATTGATTAAATAACATATACGTGTTTAAATGGTGCACTAAAATGGCAAACGTCAACGACATGTGCCTCTTCGGGCTATCCTCTCACTTTTGTGGGGCGGTCGGGTAGCCTGGTGGTCAAAGCGTTCGCTTGTCGCGCCGAAGACCCGGGTTCGATTCCCGACATGGGTACAATGTGTGAAGCTCATTGCTGGTGTCCCCCGCAGTTATATTGCTGGAATATTGCTAAAAGCGGGGTAAAACCATACTCACTCACTCACTCTCACTTAAGTCTGAAACATCTAATATGACCGAAATAGTGCTTAAACTCACTCATTCACTATATTTGTTAAAAAAACTTACAATGATTCTATTCATATCAGCCCAGCTGATGCATCACAACCAGGCAATGACGGGAGGCAACCACGGGAACAATTACCAAGGAACCATGATGAGGCCCAATCATATGAGCCACCAAAGGACGGTACCGACAGGCACCGGTAACCATAGTCCCATCAATTCCGGCCCGTCTGCTATGTCTCTGTACCAAATGGCAATGGGTTCCGACAGAACTGCAAATATGGCACTGTTTAATATGATGATGAACTCCCCAAATGCAGACACCTTGGTACCCCTAATGATGCTGAGCAACACCAACGGTGGCAGAAGCAACAACAACAACGACCTCCTGCGCACCATGGCCATCATGAACACACTGAACCGAGGTCAGCAGGGAAATGGTCAAGGTCAAGGCCTCGATTCCTTGATGATGATGATGGCGTTATCTGGAAACCAAGAGGGAAAGTCTATGTTCCCCATGTTGTCAGGTACCCCAAATACAGGGGGTAGTCCTGCTGCAGAAGGGGGTAACTCCCAGGCTATGGATATGTACATGCTGAGTAGAATGTTCTAAAGAACTCATCCACCTCAAAGAGATGTTTCAGTATTTCATCGAAATAAAAACATGATATTATCTTAACACTATGTTTCTTCTTCTGTGTTACTGAAAATTAAGTTGCTGTCGTGGCTAAAGCGTTCGCTCGTCACGCCAAAGACCGGGTTCGATTCCCGACATGGGTACAATGTGTGAAACCCATAACACAGAAGCACATTTTTGCCAATTTGTATGTACTAGTATTAAAGGCACATGAAAAATTTATCCTAAGTGGACGACACAGGCAATCCTCATCTGCAAACTCTACAAGTGTAAGTTGACCCATCTGACGTTGGTCTTTCATGAGTGGGAACCTGTCCTCTGTGGTGCGGTTTCTCCTCATACCTCATACTGCACTTTCCGTGTCTTCATAGCATCCCCCGCCCCGTAGCATATTGACACCTTCCACGTTAAGGCAAGGCAATGGTGTAGTCGTTGTCGCCACCAGAGTCCTTCGCTTGGATGAAGTCGGAAGGCCTGAAAAGTGAAACAGAAGGCTTTCTGTTTGCCTGCTCAGGACTAGTCACTTCCCACTCGAAACCGTCTATGTGTGATTTTGCATCAAAATGTAAATATGAAATGTAGATTATGCAATGAATTTAATGAAACTGTCCAACATATTGCCAGTGGATGCTCAGCTTTGGCAAAAACACAGTATCGATCATTTTATTACCATCTTCGCCATGCTTGTGGTTTTGACACACAGGTCCATCAATGGTACGATCCAGAATATGTAGAGGGCGTCATGGAAAATGATAAATACAAAATTCTTTGGAATAGGCCCGTATACAGCCTCACATATTTCCAGGCCAACAAACCTGATCTTGTCCTTTTTGATAAATCCAATAAAATCATTATTATCATTGAATTTTCTGTCCCTTTTGACACTAATGTGATTGACAAGATTAAGAAAAAACAAGGTTAATCTGCAGACATCGCTTTCGAAATATCTCGCTTGCATCCCAAGTACCAAGTTGTCCGACTCCCAATTGTTCTCGGTGCCTTAGGTTTGGTACCTCCGAATCTGTAGACTGACATTGGGAGAGTACCAGGAATACAGCCCTTCTGACAATCTAGGTAATGCAGAAGGTTGCAGTGTTGGGGAGTCTTCACATTCTACCAACAGTTCTGGGTGGGTTTGACTAGGCAGCGCTTCCTGGGAGAAGTCCCATTCGCTGTCTGGGCTGCGTGTGGAGGGGGCAAGGGCCCTGAACTGATGATGAGCGTAGCCAGCCTGACTGTGCCAGGATCACCCAAACCCTCTTTGCTGCATTTTTTTTTATCTTAATCTGTACATAATAATCATTTTAAAAATATAATTACAAATAATGCCGAACATGATGGATTCTACATTAAAATATACTTATATTTAATATATAAAATAGGTTTAGGATGTTTGACGTTTCAGTGATCAATATTGATACTGATATAATATGACCAGTCTGCTATGTATTGTGTTACATGAGCAAAGGTGGGTAAACAGTGCACAAACACTCTTAAGTATTCTTGTATCGATCAATAAACCTTACAAACTGACTGGATCTTGAATTAAGGCCAGAGTGAAATGAGGCATTTTTTTTATCGAGACATTGATTGTGAATTTTGTTGGTTTAAACCGTTTCTAGTATTATTCATGTCACATCTAAAGCGGATGATACACCTAAGAGATGCACATGCTGGCAATCAAACCCGACTCTCTTGAGGGAACATTCTACCCACGATGCTACTCACAGCCCATGTATAACTGAATTTCCAAGCGTTTCATCGAGGCATTAATGTTATTACATAATCGTTTTCAACTTTTGCGGCTCGCTGACTTGGTTAATTCGTGTCATCGTATCCCAGATCATGCGTAGATCGATGCTCATGTTGTCAATCACTGGATTGTCTGGCTCAGACTCGATTATTTACAGACCACCTCATATAGCTGGAATATTGCTGAGTGCGGAGTTAAACAACAAACAAAAGATATATACTAAATGAAAAACAACGTTTTCTTGCAAAGTATATAAGGAGCTGCAATTTGATACTAACTCATTGATTAAGAATTACATCTACTGTTTGTCATAAAGTGAAACGTGCTAAGACTTGCGTTCGAGTGCACTGTCCGAAATAGGTAGGAGTGAGCAACGTGACTGAAATGAGACCAGATTGATATTTGATACATCGACTATTTTGCAAAATCCTAGATTGTACATACCTGATGAAAGGATGATTGTCATGTTATCTGAGCGTCTCTATGCTTAAAAAAAGACGTAAAAGTAATCATTTACATCCATTCTGTACATTTATTTCTGTATATGCATTTACTTACAAATAACTCTGTGATTGTTTTTTTATAAACTTTTCCAGTTCAAATGACATTCAGCTTTTTAACTGTTCCGTTTCTTTGTGACTGTATTAAGAGGAGCTCCATTTACTCTCGATATCGGTTAAACCGATTTAACGTCATAATCCTGACATAATTCGAATCATAAATATGATTATATATCGGTACTGTGCTTGTGTCGAACTGACTTAAAATCCCGATAGAATCCTAATCACAGTATGGTTATATATCGGCACTCCGCTTGTGTCGAGCTTAATTATATTCCCGACAGAATCCTAAAACACAAGTATGGTTATATACTGGCACTACGCTTGTGTCGAACTGAATTATATTCCCGACAGAATCCTAAAACACAAGTATTATTGTAATATATTGGGAATACGTTTGTGTCGAACTGACTTAAGATCCCCACAGAACCCTAATCACAACTATGGTTACATATTGGTACACCGCTTGTCACAAGACTGGATGTTCTCTGATAATGACATGTTATGTTAAGAGTGCTTCAAATTTTAAAATTCACGTAAAATGACGCACAGAAATGTTTATTTAAAAAAAGATTGATGCATTGTCCCTTATCTATATGACGGTCTAAAATATGTCTAATATATGTGAAGATACTTATTAGGATTATTCATTTCAACACTAACGAATTCAAACAACGTGAGACGTTTGGCTTTAATTCTCAACCTACAAAATGACAATGATTTCTTTTCGTTTTTAATGGCAGGCCTACACAAAATTTAGCAAGATTAGGGAAATTAGATTAAGTATTAAATTGAGAATACACGTTGTATCTAAATTACAAATTGGGAATAGATTACTCGCCAAAAAAAAGCCATGAAGACAACATTATCTTGCATCATCCAGTTTTTGGTTGTGAAACGTTATATATTAAGAGTTTTGTTCAAAGACATTTATCCCAAATCAACTCTAAAAACATACATTCAATATTTAAAAATCCGATTTACATTAGTCTGGACGTATATAGATATAAATTTATTCTTAAAGACGCGCGGATGTTAGATTAACGTTAACTACACTCCTGGGCAAAAGAAAGTATACACTCATGTTTGATGGTGTCTTAACGTGAAACAAACAAGATATGATGTATTTGCTGCGGGTATGATAGTTATGTTTTTTACTTTAAGTTTGCAGTGTTTCGGCGACTGTTTCCAGCCTTGTAGCATTTTGATAAAGTTTGTAACTTTTTGGTAAGTTTTGTACCTTTTCAAATCCAATTTTCAAGTGTATACTTTTTTTGCCCGGCAGTTTATATATGGAAAACAACTCACTTTTTGCTTTTATTTTCAATTACAAGGAAATTCGGGCAAGATCTCGGTGGAGTGAGTACACAATTTCCAGACTGAACACTGCGGAAACAGCTGTCACGCTGATTGATAAGACACCGTGACAAAACATGTGTATAAATGTATATAATGCGGGCCGTGAGTGATGACGGTCATCTGTGTACTGACCATTACGTAATGACAAGCATTATCTTATCACAGAGTCATGATGCTATGTTACTGAGACAATTTACAACGTGACCGCCATCTTGGGTAATGAATGCCTGACGGTGGATGACGTCGGTCAACAGGGGGATATAAACGCTCTTGTTCTGGACACTCGACACAAAGACCTTTGCTTGAATTCTGGTTCAGTAGCAGCACACGGTAAGGAAACTTTTACGTAGACTCAGATGATATGTTCGTGTATCAAAGAGACTGTAATTTATTTGAATCATTAATTGTGCATGATTCACTGAAACTGTTATTTATCCTTTAAAACCATGTGATGTGTTGGATGCAAATATAGCTTTTCATGGTCCTCGTCACTACTACCTCATCGATATGTTTGTTAGTCACACATGAAACAGTGGAACATTGATTTTGATCGTTAGTGCGATTGTTGGATATACATTTTAACTTTTATTTCCCTTAAAACCATTTGATGTATTGGTTGGTAGAAACAGATCTTTTATGGAAATGAAAGTTGACCACTATCTTGACCACGATCGTTAGTCATAGTTGATGTTCAATTTCATATGCTTCATAGAGAAATCAGAACTTTATATATTTGATTTATATAGCGTAGGGAGTTGCAAGAGGTAGAATGTGTTGGTCATTCGTATTAATTTATTTATATTTTCGATCCTAACATGACAACAACCATACTTTTGTTTCAAAAGGTATAATGCAATACTCAACCTTATTATTCTATTTGTACTTTTAAAACCTAAGATTACAATTATTTTAAAATACTTTACACATGTATATACATGTTTTTTTTCCTGGTTTCCTTTACGTGAAGAAAAGATTATCGACTGATTCTTATATTATACAAAGAGTGAATGAGATATATGGGCAAAGCGTTTCAATTATTTGAAATTGTGAATGGTACTTTCTCATTGAATCAGTCTTTTTTTGTATTATCAATAGTCCCTGTTTAGAAGATACATTTTAACTCACTCACTTCAACTTCAATAATCCATTTTTTCTTTTGAAATTCACTGATTTCAATTAAGTTACTGTATTATAATTATAGGTCCAACCTGGTCAAATCATGACGACAGCAGTTTGTGTAATTATTGCCTTTTTGGCAGTGACCATACACGGTACGTATATACAAATATACCCAAAAACGTTTTGGACTTAATTTTAAACTGTGCAATATTGTCAAAAAGATATTTTTCTAAAAAGCTAGCAGCGACTATTCATGTTATATATCATTGATGTTTTCTCATATCGAATATTGACAGCACAGGGCATGCCTTCATCAGCTCAGAACAGTGTCGGGTACGATATGAAAGCCTCCAACGTCCCCCTCGGTAGCACCGTCAACGGCATACCACTCGCACCTACACAGCATCCGAGCCCGATGCCAGGCGCTCTCTTGTCCCATGCCAGTAATGTCTTCAATAACAACCACCCGACGGCTGCCACCAACAATCAACACGCCAACAACGCTGCCCAGTCCCCCATGAACTATCTCCCGTTCATGATGGGGGGTGACAACGGGCGCAGGATGGCCATGTACAGCATGATGATGAACCCAAGGCAGTCCAACAATATGATGCTCCCTTTCGCCATGATGAACGGCGTCGACAACATGTGGCCCATGATGGCTCTCATGAACAATCGCAACCAGAGAGGTGGACAAGGCTTCGACCCCATGACGATGATGTTGCTTGGAGGCGAGATGATGTAACCACGACCCTACGACTGTAATAATTTATCCATTTCATGTCACCTATTTATTGAAGAATGGACGTCCCAACTATTTCCGACCTCTGATTCATATATTGTATTTCAATTTAAAAAATGTTGCTGTATGAACATTCTCACTAAAATAAAGAGATTGCATCAATATGAAATTAATTGTTTTATGTGAATGGACTTTAGACAGATCTATTCAAAGATAGCATTTTATTTTCGACTACGGTACTGTTTCTACATATTAAGCAAGAAAGATGCATTCATATTATTAAAGGCCCCTTCACTCAAGACGCCATTGCCAGAGAATATTTATGAAGATATTCTCGATTATCAGCCAAACAGATTCCATTAGGCGTAAACAGACAGGTAGACAGACAGACAGACAGACAGCTTATTCAGTAATTTAGGCATCAAGGCCCATAGTACAATGCAGATTGGATATTAACATTTGTCACGTGAGGTACATGATAAGATTATTATTATAAAGACACGTTTTAAAATACAGAAACAAAATAGATCATATCAGGATTTTAGCAGATTTTTAATTAACTGACGGTCTTTAAAAATACATTGCACGTAAAAGGCAAAATAGTGATGAAATGTATATGAATTGATCACTGAAAATCAGTGATGACACCAGGTGTATGTGAAGAGGGTATAAGCGTACCATTTTTTTCGTAGACCAAGAGGTATAAAAGAAGGGAAAAGCTCATGGTACCTTTCCCAGCTGCGGTAAAGTAGCGGTCAGTTTTTAAAATTCAATAAAAAAAACCCTTTATATCCATATGGCATACATAACATTCGCGGATGTTCGAAGTGGTGCACAGCACTGCTATCCAAATTAATTATTTGCTTTGTTGTTAATAGAGCTATAGTAGGGCTGAGTTGGAAAAAGAGTGAGTGATGTGTGTTTTACGCCGTTTTTAGCAATATTCCAGCAATATCACAACAGGGGACTCCAGGATATTTCACAGGTTGCACGCATGTGGGGAATCGAACCCATGTCTTCGGCGTGACAAACGCTTTAACCACTACCCCACATTCCCTGATATAGTAGGAGAACATCCTGACACTATGGTAGTTATTTAGCTCCGATATGATGTATTTGGCAAAAGGCAGAAAATGTTTTATTAAACTTTTATCACAAGACTAGGGCCTCTTCTACAAGCGATATTATACCTTAAAATCGACTTTCGACAGTCGTAGCGTTGAGGTAGCTTACTGGAACGTGACTCTGGACCTCGTCTGCATAAACAGTATTAGTTCTTGTGCTGCCTGACCTTATGTGTGACGAGATAAAGGACCGACCATTTTTAGTGGGTATGAGTAACCAGAACACCTTACCCTACACATCGTTTAAGATCATGTATCAGCACTATTTTCTTATGTTGGAACTCAAGTAGCTTCAAATTACAGGTAGCTCGAATTATGCTTGATTGTCCCAAAGCTTTGTAACTGTTGATCTTGTGCAAAATGTTAGGCTTATATAGCCAATATAAACAGCCGTATGTTGTGTTGCTAAACCAACACGAACACAAGGATTATTTCTAGTACAGTGTCATGTGACGGGTACCTCCGTCTATCCTTGTGACGGGCACCTGTCTGGGTACCTCTATGACAGGTATCTCACTGTAAATCTATGACTTGTGTCTCTGTGTTTCTTTGTTACTTTTTTTCTACCTTCTATATCTAGATAGGACAGCCTACATTTCTACCTCCTATTTCTATTTAGGTCAGCTTATATTTCTACTTTCTATATCTAGTAAGGACACTTACATTTCTACCTCCAATATCTAGTTAGGCCCCCCTACATGTCTATCTTCTACCTCTAGTTAGGTCCGCCTACATTTCTACCTTCTATATCTAGTTAGGTCCACCTACATTTCTATCTTCTATATCTAGTTAGGTCCACCTACATTTCTACCTCCTATATCTAGTTAGGTCCGCCTACATCTCTACCTCCCATATCTAGTTAGGTCCACCTACATTTCTACCTCCTATATAGAGTTAGGTCCACCTACATTTCTACCCCCTATATCTAGTTAGGTCCACCTACATTTCTATCTTCTATACCTAGTTAGGTCCACCTACCTTTCTTCCCCCTATATCTAGTTAGGTCCACCTACATTTCTACCCCCTATATCTAGTTAGGTCCACCTACATTTCTATCTTCTATACCTAGTTAGTTCCACCTACCTTTCTACCCCCTATATCTAGTTAGGTCCACATACATTTCTACCTTCTATATCTAGTTAGGTCCACATACATTTCTACCTCGTATATCTAGTTAGGTCCGCCTACATTTCTATCTCCTATATCTAGTTAGGTCCGCCGACATTTCTACCCCCTATATCTAGTTAGGTCCGCCTACATTTCTATCTTCTATATCTAGTTAGGTCCGCCTACATTTCTATCTCCTATATCTAGTTAGGTCTGCCTACATTTCTATCTCCTATATCTAGTTACGTCCCCTGCATTCCTATCTTCTATATCTAGTTATGTCCCCTGCATTTCTACCTCCTATATCTAGTTAGGTCTGCCCACATTTCTATCTTCTATATCTAGTAAGGTCCGCCTACATTTCTACTTTCTATATCTAGTAAGGACACTTACATTTCTACCTTCTATATCTAGTTAGGTCCGCCTACATTTCTACCCCCCCCCCCCCATATCTAGTTAGGTCCGCCTACATTTCTATCTTCTATATCTACTTAGGTCCACCTACATTTCTACCTCCTATATATAGTTAGGTCCACCTACATTTCCACGTCCTATATCTAGTTAGGTCCGCCTTCATTTCCACCTTCTATATCTAGTTAGGTCCACCTACATTTCTACCTCCTATATATAGTTAGGTCCACCTACATTTCTACCTCCTATATCCAGTTAGGTCCATCTACATTTCTACCTCCTATATCTAGTTAGGTCCAAACAGCAAACTTGGAAGTCACTAAACACATGGTCGTTAGTGTCAAGATGACGCAGCCCTGTCATATCAACTAAATGAGATGTTAAAAAGACCTTGCTCAACTACGTGAAATTGGTTTCGTTGTTCATTTGTCATTAACTTGTCTTTTCAAGTGTCCGAAGTACTGTTGATATATACAATACAAGTATTTGACTTGAGTGAGTTAAATTGATATATATTATCAATTGCTTCAGAGTTTACATGTAATTCTTAGAAGATCATTGGCGCCGACTGTACTTTATTCTGAAATAAATTACACTTTTTGAGTTACATCATAATTTGTTAACGTCACGACGCTGTTCAAATTACAGTGCACTAACGTATCCTTGGCAACAACATTCTTTCAGTCAAGCAAAACGAAGCATCCACATAAATTTTCGGTGAAAAAGTTTCTTCTTTAAACTTATCGAAAATTTGAATATTATTACCTGGGAAGAAACATGGCAAGATGATGTCAACTATCTCTCATGCCGCAGGCTTATCCTAACCATATTCAAACCACTGTGTACATACCACATAAGTCACAAAATTTCCGAAGGGGCGTTGGTGTTCTATGAATTATGTCCGTCTCTGGACACAAGCATGAACAATCCATGAAACGTTTCATAACGCAATATACTGCAGTCAATCAAAACGGCCGTGTTGCTCTTACCCTGCCATGTTAATCCCACGGCGACGCCACATCACGCCCCAGGCCGTCGATTAACGTCGGTTACGGTATCATGCAGCGCAAACAACTCCGAAAGAACGCTATTTCATAGATTGCACTTGCTGCAGTCTGCTAACAGTAGTAGCGGAAACAAAGTTGCAACTTGTACGACAGAAAACACCCGAACTCACAATAACCAGCGACACCGAACTTCGGCTGTGTTTACATGCGTTAGCTCGGTCCAAGAATGAACTTTTGGAATTTTAGTCACGTTATTAAATTGAAGAAACAACAGCAAAGGAGTATGGATAACAACACACGAAGCGGATAATGAAATGTGACCTATTTAAAAAATAAACTACCCCTTAATACGTGGACGAGCCCGCCAGTTAGCCTGTTCGAGGATTCTCAATTTACCTCACAGGGTATTACAGATTTCATTCCTCCCAGCTCCAAGAAAGCACAGTTAGTCTTAATATTCGGCATCTTAGAAAAGTAATAAAGTATGCCCTACCCCTTGTGTAGTGTAATGAAGCATTGTGCTCTGCTCTCTTACGCTGTACATGGAGGTAGAGCAAACTTTATTTCTCAAATATAAGCGACAAATCACTTTCCATAAACCTTAGAAAAATCTGCTAAAAGCAATGTCCATTGTACATTTCTGACTATAACATATGCATGATTTTTATACATCAGTATCAATATGGTGCTTCACATATGTTGGTCACAATGGTACCAGTTTAATGGATTATTTTGTTGCTTCCTTAAACTTTTTCCAAAATATTACCGATATGGCTGTACACAGTAGAACGGAATCTGATCATTTACCATTTTTATGCAAGCTTCTTCACGCTTTTACATTTAGTGAGAATACGAAAGATCATAATTGTGATACAAGGAAAAAGTTAATATTCCAAGATTTATTTGGGCAAGCAATAAAGCTCAAACGTTTATTGACACTATTTTATTTATTTCTACGCCTCAAGCAACAGAGATTATCGAAAGTTTGTTTTTTTAAGTTTTGTTTATAAGGAACTTATATAAGTAAAAAACTTGACTTAAATCTTATCATGTACATCACGTGACAAATGTTAATATCCAATCTGCATTGCACTATGGGCCTTGATGCCTAAATTACCGAATAAACTGTCTGTCTGTCTGCTAATTCCGCAGCAGTAAAGGCATGTAAAGCTTTAGGAATTTCTTCGAAAAGCGCCCAAATTAGCATGTTCAAAGTCTAAATCACAACTCGAATCGTTTGATCATGAGTGTCAGTTAATAAAATATGACGTACAGGCTTTTACACAAGTTGCGTGCCCATAAAAGTTGTTTTGGAAAAAAATTTGCAAATTATTTTGGCGAAATATAAAGCCATTACTCAGTAAAAAATGAAAATGACTACACTATCTCCCTGAACAGTCGGTATTCATATTTTGAGAAGTTATCAAATGTTCAGTGTGTAGTGAATTTGATAAAAAACAAAAGTAGCG